GACCGCACGCCGTGGATGCAGCGGATGTCGTCGGCGCCGGGGTCCTCCGGGGCCGTGAGGGTGCTCCAGTTGCGGCGCAGGCTGAAGCACGAGAACACGCCGGAGAGCCCGCTCAGCTCGTCCGGCTCGTGGCCCGAGTCCTTGACGGTGGCCACCAGGGTGACGAGCAGCAGCAGCGCGGCCGCGCCGGTGGCCAGCAGGAAGGAGGGCGGCAGGCGCTGCAGGGGCGGCGCGCGGGGCGCCACGCGGCACGCGGCCGCGGGCACGGCGAGGCGCGCGCGCACCAGCCCCGCGCCCCACGCGCCGCTGCGCTGGAAGCGCGCCACCGCGCCGCGCAGCGCCACCTCCACGTCGCGCGCCGCGCACGCCTCGGGCACGCACACGCCCCAGCCCAACGTGCGGAAGCGCGGCACGAAGTGCGCCGACTGTAGAGCGGAGCAGAGACAACGGATCAGTCGAGGAAGTACGCCCGTTTTTCTGTTTTTCTCGGATCCATTCGGCAAGTCACTCAAGCTCGGCGCCTGTGAGGCTCGGGGTAGGCCAGCCCGCTGTACACGTGTGCACTGCAGGGAAGATGTTGCCTACCTAGCAGGCGCTGTGAAAGCTTGGACCGCTTGAACTTGGCTGGTTCACGATTGACGGACGTACTCTCTGGATGATCTCCTACCATGTATCTGGATTACCTCTCTGATTCCGACTACCACTTTCATACCGAAGTCCCCCCTCCCCCCTCGTCCTTGCCCGTACTTACGTCGTTGAGGGAGCCCTTAATAAAGGAATGGGCCAACGCCCTGTCCAGCGCGACCCGCACCCCCGGATCGTGCCTCCTCAACTCCAAGTCCATTCCGGCCAGGCAGTAGCGCCCCCGGATGTGCACTAGCCCGGGGTCCTCGCGCGCTCCCAGCACCGGCTCCAGCACGGGGCGCACCAGGTCGGCGAACCACGACATGGCCCTCGCCACGACAGCCACATCCTCGGCCTCGGCGTCCTCCTTGGCGGGACTGGTCGGCGCGGACCTGTGGACGCACATGACGCTTATGGCGAGGCTCGCACTGTAGTCAGAGCAGGCACTCTCGGGACGCTCACCTCTGGCGAAGGCGGACGTCCACGCCGAGGCACTCATCGAAGTCACCCAACTGGATACCGTTCCCACTGAGTACGCCCGACGGCAGCTTGGCTGTCGCGTCGTACACTGTTGGAACAGAGGATTGGGTAAGAACAGCGGCCGGGTGGATAGAGGTTTAGAAAAATATCCGGATATCTGATACTTACTGCTTAGTGCCCACGGTTTGTACTTGGCGAGGTGCTGGACAAATATTCTACTGTGTTTCTTGCACTCATCGTTTTTCACATCATCATCTGCAGTTGGTGCAAAAAACTCTGGGAAACCAGACATCCAAGACGTCTGATCAAACTCGTTGTCTCCCTCACTTTCAGCATTTAAAGATTGTTTCTTATCTTTCTTCTCGTTACCCTTCTCTCCCTTAGTTTTTGAAACCTGTTGCTTTGGTCTCTTTTCATCAGCAAGCTTTTGCTGTCTTTCTTCTTCAGCAGCAGCTTTAGTTTTTCTGTCTTCCTCTTCTTGCTTCTTCAGCCTTTTCTCCTCAATTTCTCGTTTCCTCTTCGCATCTTCTTCCTGCTTTCTTTTTCGACTCTCCTCTTCGGCTAACTTTAATTTTCTTTCCTCCTCGTCTCTTTTCTTTCGCTCTCGCTCCTCTTCCTCTCTCCTTTTACGTTCCCTCTCCTCTTCTTCTCTTCTCTTTCGTTCTCTCTCTTGTTCCTCTGCCATTTTCTTGCGCTCCCTCTCTAGCTCTAGTTTTAGCTTCCTCTCTCGCTCCTCTGCTTCTCTTCTCTTTCTTTCCTCTTCTTCTCGTTTTCGCCTCTCCTCCGCTAATTTCTTTTCCTGCTCTTCTCTCAGTATAATCTCTTCCTCCCGCTTTTTTCTCTCCTCTGCATGTAATCTCTGAAGCTCTTTCTTTTCCTCCTCCTTTCTTTTTAATTCCTCCTCTCTCTGTCGTTCTTCTTCCTGTAGCTTTTGACGTTTTTCCTCTTCATCCTTCTCAATTCTTCTTTTCTCCTCTTCTAGTCTTTCCCTCTCCTCTTCCTCCTCTTTTCGCTTTCTCTCTTCTTCCTCTCGGCGTCGTTTTTCTTCCATCTCTCTTTTTTCTTCAAGGCGCCGCCGTTCTTCTTTCTCCCTTTCTTCTCTGTAAAAAAGAAACGTTTTTCTGTACCTGTTCATACGGCATCGAAAGGTTTTAGGTCAGTAAAAAACCAGTGAAATTATTTTAAAGTCAATCAAATTGCAAATAATGTACTGGTGTGAATCGTAGCAGTTAGCGTTAATCCAATGTCTTGGCAACGTTTCGCATAAGATAAGGCTTAGGCAGATGAATGTCAGTCAAGGTGTTTAGCAGGATGCCTCCAGGCAAAGGAAAGAGCCTGAGTCAAGGCAAAAAGTTAGGTGGCATTTACATTGGCGCACTTAGCCGCGTTACACCTGGTGATTAGCTTGAAAGGGGGCAAGTGGCAGGGTGGGAGCGGAGTGGCCTGTGCGGAGTGAGAGAAAGAGAGAAGAGATAGAAGGTGATTTGTTAAGAAAGGCAGGAGCTTTATTCCAATCTATCCCCAGATGCAGGCATTTGTTGAACAAAGAAGGAAATGCAGATGCATTGGACAGAGGTGGATTTGACAGTAGTCCCATATTAAAAATAAATAAAATAAAAGGGGGTTCCTAGGTGCCCATGGTAATAAAGAGTGAATAGAATATAAAAGGGCAGTAAATATACAAAATAAATACTTCTCGAAAAATAAAAATGGGCTGCTCCGTATTGTAAACAATATGTACGAGAGCACACAGCGGGAACAAACACACATCTACGACTTACAACGCTAATCTAAATGCTTATTACCACCTCATCATTAAACCAGCTGATTGCCGGTTCACAAAATCTAGAAACTCCTGCTATCTCATAACGAAATATCACATTAAATAATGTCTAAATTAACTGATGCACTCAAAACAAATAACATGGTACCAACAACATGAGTCGTTGGATTGGCTCCAACGACATGGTTAGCTGACCATGTGGCAAACGTACTACAGCTGTATAAGCGCAACCGACAGTGTCACTGTTAGCTACACAACGTAGACCGACGAGCTCGGCGATCCACGTCAGCTAGCATACCATATAAATGAAGCCAACCCAAGTACAAAAGCAAATTGTACCATGAAATATTTTTATATTCTTTTGAGTGTGTACATTAAGCAACGTTGGAGGCAGGGTATGGAGATGGATTCCACAATAATACTTTTACCTTAATTTTCGAAGTCGTTCTTCTCTCTCCTTCTTTCGCCTTTCTTCCTCTTCTTCTTCCTGTTTGCGCCTCTTTTCCTCTTCCTCTTCTTTTCTGCGCTCCTCTTCCTCCTCTTCCTTACGCCTCTCCTCTTCCTCCTGTCTCTTTTTCTTTCGTATTTCCTCTATTCTACGTCTTCGAACATCGTCATCTTTCTTTTTCTTCTCTTCTTCAAGTTTCTTTCGTTCCTCCTCCCTCTGTTTCATTCGCGCTTCTTCTTCCTTCCATTTCCGTCTTCTTTGTACAGACTCACGGAGCTTCTTTAGGGCGCGTTTTTCCTCTTCATCTTCTGGTTCATCATCATATAGTTCGATCTCCTCGTGGCTTTCTTCCTCGTGTTCCTCCTCCTCCTCCTCTTCCTCCTCTTCTTTGTCCTTACCCTCTTCCACGTACTCCTCCTCTTCTTCCTCCTCTTCGTCACTGACTAGCTCTTCGCTGTCTACGTCTTCATCTTCGTCGCTGTCGTCATCTTCAACCTCCACAACTTCGTCATCCTCGTCAGATTCGTCGTCCTCCTCTTCGTCCTCCTCAACCTCCACGACCATCTCGTCCTCGTCGTCCTCCTGCAAAAGACAGAACATGGCAAACAGGTGGTTAGCGCCTGTTGGTTGGGCGGACCCATTGCGCGAGCGCACCCGTCGGCCCTGCCTAAGCGCCGGGCGCGCTGGCCGCCCGCGAGGTAGGCAGTCCCGTGGCGCGCGCGTGCACAGCGGGCCGGCCCATGCTGCGGGCGCCCACCCGCCCGTGAGGTAGGCAATCCCGTGGCGCCCGCGTGCACAGCGGGCCGGCCCATGCTGCGGGCGCCCTCCCGCCCGCTCCCCCGCCTTCTCTCCCACGCCACGATGTAGCGAGATGGGGTTTCCTGCATGGTGCCCACGCTCACCTCTTCCTCCTCCTCCTCTAGCCGCTGCCTCCGCTTCCTCCTCGCCTCCTGGATGAGGTGCGCTTTCCGCCGGGCGTCCTCCACCGTCCTCCGCTTGTCGAAGGCCGAGGTGGAGGTCTGCGTCAGCCCGGCCGCGCCCCCGGCGGCGTCGCCCCCGCTGCCCCTGGCCCGACCGACCTCCGACTGTCGCATCCGCTCCTCGGCCTCCCGAATAGTGGCGGCGCGGAGGGCAGCCGACTCATCGATGTCATTCTCCGCCGGCGTCTTCAGAGGCCGCTTGGGAGCCAGGTGCCCTGGGGGACAACAAGCAGGTCGTCAGCACGGCGAGCGCACTCCACCCGCCCCGCCCAGCACGCGCACCGCGCTCACCTCTTATTTCCGCGTCTCCCTTGGGCTTCCGCCATTTGGTCTCGGCGAAGCGCTGGTGCGGGTTCTTGCCCTTCTTGTCGTCCTGGCCGGCGGCGTCGGCCTGGTCGCAGTAGCTGGGGAACTTGCTGCATAGCGCGGACGAGGACGTCGACGACGAGGGCGCCGTAGAGGCCTTCGCCTCGGACTCGGTGGCGGTCAGGCACAGCAGCAGCACCGCCAGCAGCGCCGCGACCCCGCGCACCGCCATCCCTGCTGTGGGTCCCCGGGTCCCGCGGGCCCTGCGCGCCGCGCCCCGTGCCCTTTACCTGCAGCTGAGCTGTGCGCCCTGCGCGCGTTCGACAACAACCGGCGCCAAGGCGAAGGACAGGGGGGGGCGGCCGCGCCGGGGCAGCGCCGCGTTCAAATGTTCGAAACGCGGACCAGGAAAATTGTGCGCGGAACGATCGCGTGTGACGTACGTTGGCGATATTCCTGTCCCGTGCACCGCGGGAGCCCGCTGCCGCGCCTCGGGGCGGCACGGGGTATGGCGGGGCCGCTGGGGCCGCTGCTCGCTCGGGGCGCGCTGCCGCCGCCGCGCCCCTGCCGCCGCCGCGCCCGTAGTGCTGCGTGCCAAGAGGGCGGCACAGACGCGCCGCGCCTCGGGTCGGGACTGTCTCAAGACTGTCACGCCAAAAGCCGCATTGGGAACGCACGGGTCAAGGTGAGCGCAGCTCCCAACCCTTCTGACGGCTGCCCGAGTGGCGGGCGGGTGTCGCGACGTCGCGTCGCGGTGCAAGCTGTCACCACCGCGACTGCACTTATTCCAAGCAGCTGCTTTCGATTGGAAGGCGCTACGTCATTCGCGCGCCCGTGGCCATGCGGATCGAAAACACCTGGCCAGAGTCGCCGAGCGACTCAAGTCCTCGGCCTTTGCGGGCTTTTCGGGAAAAGGGAACACTTTAGTCGGGAAGGGTTGTCAAAAAGGTGTCCTGCGTACCGAAAGCGCCTTTACGATCTCAATTCGATATCGGATCTCGCACAAGTTTCGCCTCGCCACTTACGGCGCCCCCCACCGTCCACCGTGCACGGACGGTACACCCGCGCACTTTAGATCCCCTTAGTACGGTTCGTCAGTCGATGCAGTCCGGACGCCGAGGATCGTGCGTCGCGTCCGTCTTCATGCTTTGCGCCTCGACGCCGCCGCGGGTGGCGCGGGCCCTGGCCAGCCGAGGGTGCTGCGGCGCGGCGCGGTGGAAGAGGGCGTCGCGGCGGCGGCGTCGCTGGTCCGCGAGGCTGCCGTACTGCCGCGACGTCCGAGGGGAGTGGAGATGAGCGGAGAGGCCCCACGAATTTCTCATTCCACGGGGCGTTGACGTGGGGGAGGTGGTCGGGGGTGCGGACGACGCCGACGACGGCGGGGCGCCGCGTCGCGGCCGCCCAGACGATCCTGCGCGCCGAGTGGGCTGAGGGTGCGCGTGGGGACGAACTCTTGAGGTATGAAAAACTTCGACCCACCGCCAGTGTGCGTGCGCGGCACAGCCGATCGCACGTTGGCCGGGCTGAGCAGTTTGAGAAGAAAGCGCAGCTGGCGTTCCTGATCTTCCTGAGCCACGCCAGGCCACGCCACGCCTCAGCCGGCCCAGCGGTCCGAAAACTACTACCTTTGGAATCGTGCCAAAGGGTCGCGCCTCCTCTCCCCTGTCCCTTCTGGTCTCACCTTAGTCCCCTTTCCCTTCTTCCCCCCCTGATCTGTGGTAAGGTAAACTTCCCAAATCCTAGAAAAATTCAAGTCTATGAAATTGATTGACGAAACATCTAAAATACAGCTCGTTTCCTTTATCGATTAAAAATGGTTAGAGCAGATAACAAAATTGTGGTACACACAAAACAAAGACAGTTCATTGATTGAAAGATACAGCTCCAATGGAACATATTTACAGGAATGCATCCAGACAACAAATAACAGTGAGATCATTGCATATTGTAACTTAAAAATAATTGCATAAGAAATATTGTCTCTTCTAGGTGGAGCTCTGCTTCACTCAATTTCTGTACTCTTCTCATTACTTTATTAAAAAGATCAACCTCCGGAGGTGCCATCATTTCTTCAATCTGGAAAAAAAATAGTTACAGATGACTTTTAATATTTATAATTGTTTCATAGGAAAAAGAAAACAACTTGAAATATGTACATACTTCTTGCAACTGTTCGGCTGGTGCTCCTTGTGCCTGTAAACTGAGAGCTATACTGTGGATTCTATTCTTTTTCTCAATAAGGCGGCGGTTCTCATTTGTTTCAAAATCTCTCCGATTCATGGCATTATAGAGAGCCTTATAACTCAAATCTAGTATCATGCGAGCAACCTTAAAAAATAAAGAAATTAAAATCGTGTTTCTTTCCTTAGAAAATACAGAGGGTAGGCCATGTTCAATAGAGCTGTAACATTCATACCTCCTCTAGATCAATATGAAAAAGGAAGAAGGTTTTGTTGGGGCCAGCATTGGTAGCCATTGTTTTACGAAGTTCTTGGAGTTGCAAGAAATTTTCATGCATTAGCCGATAAGTAAGTTGTTTGGCTTCTCTTGCTGGGATCATGGCAATTTGCTGTATTTTTTCTTGCTCAATAAATCTCCTATCTTTCACTAATCTACAATATGGCATGAAATGAAAAACAATTACTTGGGTGGCAAATTTGAAATACTGAAAAGATATAGATGTATAAAACAACATTCTTACCTGAAAATACGTGCTGCTTTAGACCCAAAGCGCTCAACAATAATATTTTCAATACAGGTCCAGGTCAATGCCTCAAAGGATTTGTGCATGTTGATACAGAATTGTCCTCCACCACTGTCACCAACTCTAGTAATGAAACCACTGGAGTCCTCCTCTGAAAACAAGGTCAGAATGCTAAATGGTGATAATGTAAACTTTCACACAGAAACAAATCAGGAAAGTGAAATCTGATTTATCTCACCAATTATTTTTAAATATTGGTCAAGGTGTGGCAGTATAGGAGACTGAGGATCCTTCTTACGTAGTGTATCTCGTAACTCTGAGTATGGAATAGGATTTGAAACTCTAACCCATGGATCAGTACGAATATACATGAGTTGTAGTAACAGTTGGAAAATTTCACTGGCATTGTCATCTATTCTTCTTGCAATAGCAGCAACCATAATTTGGTCACTAAAGTCACAGAAAAGAGGAAGAGAGTAGACGTTAGTAAAAGGACATGAGAAAAAATACAGATCTTTAATTTCTAAATAAAGCATTGTTTGTTAACGCGTTCAATGCCATACGACCACTTTGTTGTCAAATAATGTTGTTTAAAAATGGATTAGCACTGAATGTGTTAAGATCTTACCGAAAGTCCTGATGGAAGCGATCAAAGTTGACCCGCCAGTATACACCTTCATCACCAGCATCAGCTACTTCTCCCTCCAGTAGCTGTGTAAGAGCTTTCATATTTAAAGTTGGAGGAAGATGTAATTGTGTTTTAGAAACAGTAAGATTAGGAATTCCTGTTGGCTTCTCTCCTTTCTCTTCATCAACAGGTGTAGGTGAGGGGCAGCGCATTAAAAACTGTTTGTTGACTAATGAGACAAATTTATCTCGAAGTGTAGATAAATAGGCACTTGCATTGTCAGAACCTAAAAACAACATTATTTGAAATGTACAAGGAATAAGAAAACAAAAAAATAGATGCGATAGAGCAACAAACCTTTCTGAGACTCTTGGAGTCTGGTAGCTGCCTTTACAATAAGTCGAGATGCAGAATCAAAGCCTACCCTTAAGAATTCTTCAACTAATGTTTCAGCTTCAACGCCAAACTTGCTTTTAATTAAATAAAGGTACCTACAGAAACAACATAAATGTGATACAAATTTTCATTTTACAAATTGTAAGAATGAATAATTAGAACTGTTGGAGTATCAGCTCTTACCTAGGATATCTGAGGAGAGAAAATATCTTCTCTGTTTGAATGGTATACTCAGCAACACGTCCAGACTTACCAGGAGCAAATGTTGCCAAGCCATACTGTAGCAGTACGCAGAGGGACTGCTTTACCTGTGACAAATATACAAATACAATGAATGGTTACGCTTAGGAAAAAATCTTTGGGAAAACAACAATGTCTTAGAACATACCTTGTCAATGGATAATTTGGTTGAGGAGGCAACTAGAGCAAGAGGTTTTGGACCCCATTGAAAAAGGTCAGTGCCCACCTTGGACACTATTTCCCCAAAATGCTCTTCCAAAATTAGAGAACAAACTTTTCCTAATAGAACTGACATGATAAATATTGCAGCAATTGTTGATTATGACATTGCAACACTAATGACACAAAGAAACTAAATAACGGGAACGGGGACAATTTTTTTGTTTACAAGAAACAAAAATTGTATCAACTAATCAACTATCAAAGGACAACATAACCTCTTTCGCCATGCCGGTGAATAGCCAAATGAATGAGAAATCTTGCGAAACGCACTATGTGCGCTATGAAAAGTTTTTGTAACCGTGCTCAAAAGGCGGGAAATTTTAAATTGGAGTCCAGGACAAAACCGGAGAAAATTAGAAAACTACCACATTTGTAGTTGGTAACCATTTATTTTCATCAATATTACAGGTTATAGAGAAGATTTGCTTTACAGTGATTAATTTGGTTCCAAATATTATATGGGTTACAAGTTACAAATCCCTGACAAGTTGAGGGATGATTTGGCTTCAAGCAATTGATTACATTTTATAATATAAATCAGTCCACAAAAAATTAAGCTATAAGGAAAGAAACTTTATTTATCAAATATTAAATTTGATTGAATATTTTAATGACAAGTATAGGCAGATCAGCCAAATGTGGTACTCCCCCCCCCCCCCCTTCACTCTCGCTCTCGCCTGTGAACTCTGTGAACTCCTATGCTGCTTTGAGAAGTACAATCTTTCCCTGGTCTCACTAAAGTAAGTTTTATCTGCTAGTGACAACAATAAAAATCATCACTGAGGCCCATGGATCAGTATTCCGGATTTGAAACAAGTGACACAAAAAAACTTAAAGTTCTAAATGAAAAGTTTTTCACAATGGTTTTAAAACATAACTTTGTGCTGGAGAGGAAAGCTCATTGTTTCCTCTATGCACATATCACATTTCTTTCCGTTTATGAATAGAGAGAAAAATGACTAGAATATATGTACTTCAAAAAATACATGACTTAAAAATATGTACTTCAAAAAATACAAGACTTCCAATAGATATACTGTATAGAAAATATTAGGTACGTATATGACTAGAATGTTTGTAAATACTACAATAATGTAGACTGTAAAGTTGGCCAGCAAATACAGCCTAAGTTACCAAGCAGTTGATAATGCAATTTTAGTACATCACTCCGCACTGAAACCATAGAGCCTAGCTATTCGATGATACAGCTCAGCAAGTGCTTGCTGCAACGTGTGGTCACGCGAGTGTGCAGTCAGGCGGCGAAGCCCTCCAAACAGCGCTGGAAGGAGTGCAGTGAATTGGGCATCTGACAACTGGGCCACTAGGTCCAACAACGAGCCTAGCATCTCCCTTGCAGCTACTCTCCGAGCACCAGAGTCCTGATTGATGGAAGGTACAAAAGCAATATTGTAAAAGAGCAACAACTCAACAGGTAATAATAGTAATTTTCTTCACAAAAAAAAAGGAATACGTAATGTAGCGCTTTATTTGAGGGATCTTTGACTTACTTTGATAATACTGGCTCTTCGTTGTTGATCAATTTCTGGTGGTATGTCCAGGGCTGGTGGAGGTTGGGGTGGAGCATTAAAGGGGTTCATTCTTGGGTGAACACCAAACCTTGATTTGTGCCTGCGATATTCTGCCACTAATGTTTCCATGTTGTCAGCCGTCTCTCCTTCCTGCCGGTCTTGTGTATTGTCAATGTCAGGGTCCAGATCAGGGGTTGGCGAAGGACTCTCATGAGTTGAGCCGTCATTGTCATCGACTTCAACACTGGATGAGGAACTACTGGTGGAGTCAAGAGACAAGCGTCCCAAATCTGCCAGCCTGGAGAGGAAAAAACAAGACAACATTTACAGAAATGAGACAGTAGCTTCAACTTCAGGATGTATTGAACACAAAATAAATCTAAGGCTAAGGACTCACTTGAAAGGCCGATATGGCCTCTCCCTTTTCTCTTTCTTCACCCTCTTTCTTTTAGTAGTCGTCACAACTCCTTCCTCGGCATCCTCCTCTTGTGTATCGACGGCAGCTACTTCCGCCTCCTCGAAATCTGGTGGTTTTGCACTCCCCTCCTGGTAGGGAACCAACATTGGTCGGTCAGTGATACCATCAAGGAGACGCGCATTGACAGTAACAAGTCGTGACAGAACACGCTCTCGACTCACCTGACGTTCCGCCAGCAGCTCCTGTCTGCGTGGTATGTCGGGGAAATCGGAACCCTGCGAGGTGAGGAAGAAGATGGGCTGGTCGCCGAGGGTGTCGGAGGCAGCGTGGCGGCCTTCGCGGTCCTCCACCACGTCCACGTACAGGGCGCACAGCGCGTCGAACGACTGCCGCAGTAACGACAGTGCCCAGCCCAGACTCCCGACAGGCGCCTGACTGCCGGGACCCTCGCCATCGGCGCTGGGGCCTGCTGCGTCCTCCATCAGGCGGCGGACGTCATCCGTGGACGCCGATGTGACCGCTATCTCGTGCAGGGCCACGTCGACGAGCACCACAACCTGTGGGGGGTCAGCGGAGAGTCTCGAACGTGTCAACAGGCAGTGCATGAAAAAAGTCACATCGAAATCTTGGGCATAATGTTAACACGACTGGTGACATACGAGCCACTACCAGTCCTCACCTTGATGGTCCAAGCCGCGGCGGCCTGCCGGTACAGGTTGGCCGCTGAGTCGAGCCCGGCTACCTTCTGCACGAGGAATTTGAGCCCCGGCCGCGCGTCGAACTGAAGCGCGGCGCAGTAGCTCACGTCTAGGGCGGCGAGGAGGCCCTCGAGCTGGGCCGGGGACAGCAGGCGCATCATGCCCGGGAGCGCGGGGGCGGCGCCGGGCGGCGAGGACGAGCCGCAGGCGGGGCCGCACTGCACCACGTTGGCCAGGGCGGGCACGGCGTGCGGCGTGCCGCGCAGCAGCAGGGCGCCCAGCGAGTGCAGCAGCAGCTGGTGCGCCAGCAGCCCCACCACCAGCGCGCGGTACCAGACGCGCACCACGGCGTCCTCGCCGGGGCCCAGCGCACAGCCCGGGTAGTGGGCGCCCGAGGCGACCACTGTCCTGGAGCTGGGGCTGAACAGCAGGAGCACGTACGACCGCTCCTCCGCGTCCCCCGGTCCGACTCCGGGCACGGACACCGAGGGCGGCGCTGGCGCAGGACAGGCCGCCTCGCGCTGCCCCTCCAGCAGGAAGACCTGTAAGCAGCGGAGGGAGCGCGTCAGCCTGTGAGGTAGGCAGCGCGGCCGCGTGCGACACTCGGGTGCCCCGCGGATCGGCCTACCCTCCCGCTCGCAGGCGCCCCGGGACTGACCTGGTGTCCGAGGTGCGCCAGGCGCAGGCACTGCTCGGGAGTCGTGTCCCGCCGCGCAGCCACCTTCACCTGCCCCACGTCCCCGTAGAAGGCGTGGCTTCCCGGGCGGAAGGCGACGAGCAGCTGCCTCATGGGCTGCAGCGAGGCGGCCGTGGCCAGGTGCACCGCGGCCACGACGGACCACCACTGCGCCTCGGTGAGCAGCGGGCCGGCCGCGATGAACAGGTGGCGTATGCAGGCGCAGCCCAGGCGCGCGATGCTCTCGACCGGCTGGATCACGCACTCCACCAGCACCAGCAGCACGCCCTTCAGCATGAGCGAACAGGCCGCCTCCACTTGCTCCTGAGTGCCGGCCGGGGAGCCCGGCGGCGGGACCACCTCCTTGAGGTAGGCGAGGTACTCGACGACCAGGTCCGTGGCCAGCCCGCAGCACTGCTTGAAGCTGGCCGCGCAGCGCTCCCACGCCTCGGGCTGCTTGCCGGCGCGCCGCAGCCAGCTCTGCAGCAGCGGCAGCAGCATGTGGTTGACGCAGTGCAGGGCGAACAGCGGCCCCGGCACCTGAAGCAGCTCGTGCATCTGCTGGAACAGCGCGTCCAGCACGTTCTGCTGGTGCTGCTCCCCGGACACGGTGGCCATGAGCCCCTCCAGCACCAGGTACCACACGCGGAGCACGCCGCTGGGCCGGTCGATGCTCGCCAGGTCAATGATGCCCGGGTCGTCGAACGTGCTGAGCAGCGAGTGAGGCACGGCCCCCAGGGCCGCGTTGAGCGCGTTGGACACGTCATCCACGCACGCGCCCGGCTCCCAGTCCACGATCTCCAGGTCCGAGTGGATGGGGTTGAGCACCAACGCCGGACTCTGGCACATGCTGGGCAGAGGGGTGCAGGAGTTAAGGCGGGGCGCGCGGGCAGGGCGCACAGGCGAGGGGGTGGGCGAAGGGTTACTCACCGATGGGCCGAGTGGAAGATGGGGCAGGCTGGCATGTCGTACATGGAGGCTAAGATCTGGCAGCAGCGGCGCAGGTACCTGCAAAAGGGAAGTAGTCTTTAACTTATGTGTATTTGTTTTTGAAATTTGATTAACTTCGATAGAAGAATTTCGGTGAACTTTAGTGAACTTTTATAAACCTAGGCCGAACTTTAATGAACCTGGATTGAATTTAACGAACTGCGATGAGAAATTGCGATATGGACCCCCGTGGGCTCCACCACTCAAACCATGAACTTTGACTTCAGATTTGTTGGGAGCCATTTTTATCTTCGGTTACCTGAGGGCGGCGAGGCGCAGCTGAACGGGCACATCACTGCTAGGGTCCTCGGCGTCACCGGGCTTGCGCACATGCTTCAAGAGGCAGAGCACGCAGTCAACGGCGGCATTAGAGAACACGAGTGGGTTGTGCGTGTTGAGGAACACCTGGAACACGTCCAGCAGGGCGGCGAGGTGGCCGAGGTGGCCCACGGGCGCCGACGGCGAGGTAGGGGTGGAGGGCGCGGCGGCCGGGGTCGCTGCCGGAGCGGTGACCTTCACTACGCGCAGGGCGCCAAAGAGTGGCCTCCACCCCGACCGAATCTCCGTTCTGTTAGCCTCCACAAACTCGCAGATGCAGCTGACAATCTAGAGAGGAAATGAAGCGTCAGATGCGCGATTGACAGATGGTGCCGTTACTTCTGGGTAGAAGGCCCAAAGTAGAACTTACTTGATCCTGCACATCTGAATCGCACAGCTCTAAACAGAGCAGATTTTCAAATGGTTTAAAAAGAGCTTCGTTGAAATGGAAGTAGGGAAGTTCAGATTGATCATTGAGTAGAGCATTAACTGAGTCATGGATGCAAGCAACGGCTTGCTTTGAAATAGTCCGATCTCGGTGGCAAGCAGCCTGTAAATATTATTTCAAAAAGTCACAAAAGCAAAAGAAAAAGTATCTGAAAAAAATCTCAAAGATCAACTTGGAAGGCCAATTACCTCCATGAAGTGTGGTCCGACAATAGACCATGCTCTCATTATATGAATCAGGGGCCGTCCGCTTCGGATACATTTTAACATGACATCTCCAATACGTGTTAGGAGTAAGGATGTATCAGGGTGGTCTCCGAGTTCATTTTCCGTTTGGATCTTCCCTTTTAAACGCCCTCCTGGCCACCAAATTCGACTCGATACTGATTCCTTTTCTGCACTGGCTCGTACCACAGGGTTACTTTTGCCAGATCGTGAGAACAATTGTCCATGTGATGCAGAGCATAGGGCTTTCAAGAATCCAGTGAGTGCTCTCATGTTGAGTTTGAGAGCTGCTTCATCAAAAAGCCTAGAATTAGGAAATATATTTATTATTTGCAATCACAACATTTAAAATTAATTTCGCATGGTCATATACTATACCTATCAACTTGCTGAGAAAGTAAACAAATTACTTTGGCAGCGTGGTAATCTGACAAAAGTCCCCCAGAGCTAGCATCAGCATTGCTACCTTGAATGACATCAGTCACAGAAGCAGTTGTGCTAACTGGGGTTGTTGGAGTGGATAAGAACCCATACACATCACTGGCAAAGATAAAAATGATTACAGTCAAACAATGAGCAGCTGAAAAAGTCTAGCTAATCAATTACTTCACAAACTTTTACCCTCACCAAATTTCAGTATCATCCACAGGGTCAAAACTGAGATTGAGTCGGTCTTGAATAGAGGTTTTGTCTAAAGCAGGACTAGAGGTGCTAGTCTTCATAGATAATTTAGGACCAAGATTACGATTGTGAAGTTGACTAAAGAAATCATGTTCAAGCTTGGCAACAAATAAGCAGCATCTGAAAACAGATAAAATTGGATTCAGTTAACTTCGAGTTGAAACTTGGGAAATAAAATTTCTAATAGGAATACTCGGGTATTACTGACCTAAACACATGAGGCCAGCAATCAGCACTATGACTGCTCATTTCCAAACCACGTCCTACAAGCACGTCCATACTCAGGGCATGGGAAGCATGAAGTTTACGTGTTTGGCCAAGCAATCGTTTGAGTTTCCTAATGCGTTGGCGAGGTTTTCTTAAACTATGTCTCAATGCAGCAGCTAATTGTTCTCTACTGCGAGCAGCCGTCAAAGTGTAGCTCAAACCAGTATCTTCCAGTTCACCCATAAGTTCTTCATCTGAAGCTGCACCGGTCAAATTACCATCAAATGCTCCAACAGGACATGATGCGGAGGCCAATAAAGAAAATAGTGACCCGCATCGAGATTGCATTCCTACATTTAAAAAAATAGAAATCAATTTTATAAAAGTTCACAATACTGAGTAAAGAAAAATACATATGAGTAAGTACAAACCTAAAATATTGGCAAGTTTTGCAGCGCGTTGCAAGCCTTCCAGGCTGGACACAACAGCTTCACGGTACCTACGACTGTCATCCCTGCTGTTACCAGTTCGGACAGATGCAACCCGGCTAGAGCCCTCAAGCATAGATGACAGGACAGCAAGCATGGAGTCCCAGCAGCATGTTAACACACGGCGAGATAATTTAATACCTACAAGAGAAAAGCAAATAATTGGTCATACCTGATTGAGACTCCATAAATTTCTGACTAAAAGTGAAAAAAACAATGTGGAAAATCTTGAGCCAAACCTGCTTCAACTTCAGGACTTATTTCAACCTGGGTAGTTGCTCTTTCAAGGCGTCTACAGTCAGAGAGAAGCTGTCCACCGGGCTGATTTGAGTCAAGCCCATCCAGGTCGGTCAGTAGATTTATCAAAGCAACATTATCAGTCAGGGAGGCATCATAGCCATTGCGTTCAAGAACACTATTACTTAGAGTTTCTTGATACAATTCTGACAGCCAGGCAGAAGACAGGTAGACAAGAACACCAGATCCGTGCACTTGCTCAACAAATTGATCCTGAGGAAATGTTTAAAGTAGTTTGAGAGAAATTTGAATATCTACTATGGTTGGAACTACAGTAGGTTTTTCATCATACCTCATTCATTGGTAACACTTTATTGTTGTCAGCATAGTAACCTTGGTGTATTAGCTTCAAATTCAACAAAAGGGCAGAATATGTTGCAAGATAAATTCCATCAGCATTGATTATTGTTACAGGAGCAGCAGGGCAATCACTGATGTTATGTCCTGCAAATACACCTTTGGAAAAAATATTGTCATCTTAGAAACAATAAATATGTACTGATTTTTATAAGAAGGGCAATCACAGGAACAAGACAAATATCACACCTTGGCAATATTTAGAGGCAAATTCTTGCAAAGCAGCGTCAACTTCAATTGAGCTTCGTAAAATTAGCAGGTCTCTCACCAAACCATTGAGACTTTGTGCAAAATGGCGAGCACTTTGTCTTTCAACATCAATATACTCAGCACGGACCTGAAAAACCACCCCAATATTTTAAATATTTATATGTAAATACAAAGAGGTCACAAAAGTCTGGAAAAAATTTCTACAGTAAAGAAAGAGTACATACTGGAATTGGCTGATATTCATGAAGAGTTCGAGGCAATCTTTCTAGCCTTTCATCAATTGGATCCAACTTTTGATTCTCTCTTTGTTGTATGTCAGCCTCAGCAACCATTTCATCCAACTAAATTTCGAAGAGGATGAAAGAAAACTATGAAATTAGTTCAACCTCAATGATTTTCTATAACTACAGCAGTACAATGGTTTTTTTTTAAATTTCTTACTTGAGGGTCATCCTCCGGTCCTTCAGTGTCTCCTGAACTATGGCTTTGGTCACTCCTGTCACTATGATCACTTGCGCCGGGCTGGCTCTGTTCAATACCACTACTACTGTCACTTTCTGTAGCACCACTGCGAAGCAATGCCTTCTCTCGCTCCATTCTTTCACAATAATTTTTGGGAAGCCTAGACATGCTTTGGTAGGTCAACGGTCCTGATAAACAGAAAAGTTGTCAAGAAAGAAAGATGTAACAATTTAGATGACCAGCTTCTAAAATAAAGTATTATACCTCGATAGTCACAAAGAATTAAATGGGGGTATATTGTGTTGATTTTATCAGTGTATTTATCAGAAATTCCACGTCCAGCACAAAGATCTTCTAGAGATCCCAGCATGGCTACAATGCAAGCCACACTTGCTTGAGCAAGAGCAGAATTTCCTCTTGTGGCACATTCATCAATAGAGTCCATTACTCTGGAGAGACAAACCATCAATTAGTCATCAGTCTAAAAATTACCTCACAAGTAGGTTAAGAAATTTAAAATTTATAACTCACAGTCGCATTAAAGCCATGTCACTTTGAGGAGACCCTTTTTCATCCTCTGGTATTATTGGCCCAGCAAAGTCTACCATACGACTGGGGCTTCTTAAAAGCTAGTAACAAGACAAGTTCAAAGATATATGAGACATTTGTGCCACCCAGAATAAAATTGGTATTCTCAGATTATTCTAAATTTCCAAACCTCCTTAAGCGCACGCAAGGCTTCCAAGCGATGTTGAGGGGGAGGATAAAGAAGCATACGATGGAAAACTGATTCCAAAACTGGTCTTAAAGATCCAACACAACCAACCAGACGAACAAGTTGAGTTCCAATACTGAAATAAGCAGAAGTTGAATCAATATTGTGAAAATTACTGGCACAAATCAACATTTTGTACACATTTTATACACCATACCTGTAAACAGTCTTTGCCTGTTGACTATTGAAGCTAGGAGCTGTTGCCAGACAGCCAGAGCCACGTCCTTTCACATTTGCCCCAGCCTTACCAAGAGAAGAATTATCTGGACGAGAGGAAACAATGTTTTTGTCCACGCGAGGGGTGCCAAGAAATGCCACAAGGGCTGGACAAAGCTTTTGCCACAAAAATGCAGTAAAATGTCGATTTGCATGAACGGCTTGAGGTAAACTTGACACCAATGTGTGAAGGCATTCAAGTAAAAATACCACTGTATGTCCATTCCTACCACAGCTGAAGAAAAAGGTACAGGTGAAATTCAAACAGTCTAAATCTCGTCTTGTTTTTAAAAAAATTGAGAATTTGATCATGTTTACAAACCTCTGTGATTCATCAAGTTTACTTATTATGAATTGCATGATGGGAATAACTTCACTAAAACATGATACACCAGCACTCAGCTCAATACCTGCCACATCCTTTGACCGTCTTGCATTAAGTTCTAGTTCTTGACATTCCTCTTCTATAGATACACAAAACAAAATGACAAAATTGTAGCAACTTTTCGCAATGTATAGTGGGTCGTAAAATTTTCTAGAGGAAATTTAGAAAATGAACCATTCATACCTAAGAAATTGCAGAAAGCTCTTAGTGTATGACTAGTAGCAGTCTGGGCAGCAGTTTGAACTGACTGATTTCCTGATTCATATGCTTCCCCACACAGTGTCAACATTTGTATGATTATACGCCCATTGACAGTCCAACTTGGAGAACACGCAACATTTAATAACACCTGTTTCCAAACAAAAATGAAACAGATTGCCAGATTTACATAGAGCGCATTTTCAAAGAGAATAGCAATTACTTCATAGGATTACTTTATATGTTACCTTCAGCATGTCTACTTGAGTGTCATCTGTATGGGATAGCATACCACTAAATACATGGAGAAGTTGAGAGGGTAGCCATAAGGAATCATCTTCTGGTTCAAGGTGCGATTGGAAGCGATCATCCCTTACCAATTTCTAGAAAGAGAAATAACAAATCAGTAAGGCAACTGCACATTCAACCTGGTCCCTCAATAAATCACAAAGGAACTCACATGTAATCCTGACAAAGATAGGGCAACAAATTTGCTTCTTTTTGTGTCTAAAGCTATTTGCAGCGGAAGAAGGCATTTTGCTCGAAGTTCATAGGCTGGATCATGCATAAGAACTGACTGCCTACCTAAGAAGTCTGAAATGGCCAGAGGTAAAAATAAAAATAAAATTGATGTCAAGGAATTTCAAAAAAATATTTCTTTAAATAAATCGAACGATGTAAAAGAGAAGCATCTGGAGATCATTTGCCTGAAAAGTACAGTACAGTGTGATTGAAAATTAGCGCTCATTTGGACACAAAGAAGTGTTTAGGGTTAACGGAAAGAACCTATGATAGTTAAGGAGTCTGATGGAGCATGAAAACAAAAAATATTTCACGAGAGTCAGTCATCATAAGGCGAATGTTCGCAAACATGACTCACCGTATGCTTCCTGAGCGGCTGCTCTGAGAGGAGCTAACTTGGCCCCGCTGGCTTCTTTTCCCAGTTGCAGAAGTAAGTCCTCCATTGTTTTGGATATCTGATTGTTGCTGGAATAAGAAACCTCCAACTTCCCCTACCAAAATTTAAGAAAAGTACCTATACCAAAGAGTTTCTTCATTTTGTTTCACAGTTTGACAGCAACAACTGTCAGACCAACACCAGCTGTAAACACCGCTGTACGCCCCTAAGTTGTCTGCTAGACAGTACCAACGTGTGAAAATGAACTTTACAAAAGAGATCAAATCAACGTCTAGAAACAAAGAATAATAAAGCTGAAAACAAAAGGAAAACGGGCTGTTATGTTACTAATAGTCATGAATATCTTTTGCTTTGAAAAAGTGACAACGAAGTGAACAGCGGGAAATTACTTGTTTTTCACTGCACCGGAAAAGAAGCGACTATTCGCAGTTGAATAGCCGGTTGAGCTGACGCGGCAACGCAGCGAAGTCGGCAGACCATCGGCTGTCTGCTGCAACGGATACACACAACAACATGGCCGACGTAGTGGAAGATGTTGTGAGCCAAGTGAAGGAGTTTTTGACAGATGCCCCTGTAAATGGCACCCGAAAAACTCCAGCCACCCCTGAGGGGATGGCCATGGCTTATACCAGCCTCGTAGTCATGGCTGTTTTGCCGATTTTCTTCGGGTCCTTGCGTTCCGTCCGATTCCGCAAGGTGCAGATGGTAAGGATGGTGAGTCAAGCTGTCCCCGGACACGTATGCGACCCGGTAGATTTTGCTTTTTGCACTAGTAAATTGCAATAATCTCACGGGGCATTGTAAGACGTTGTCATGGGGCAGTTTGTAAATATTTCATTCCATGGAGTCACATGCAATGTCAGTAGGCCTATGGAAATGCCTACCATATGTCAGGTTAGGTTTCCTGTAGGTGATTTGTTGGCATTTTTATAATTTTGAAGAGTTTTTCAATAGATTTGCTGTATCTGAAAGAATCTTGTACATGGTTCAAATAATAGTGCACTGTTTTATCTATGTCAAACTTAAAATCACGCATCATTAGAGTTTTGTTATAAAAGCGCCTTTAGTCAAAATAGTTTTATTATCTGCTTTCCCGCAGTCTTAAAACAAACCAACTTTGCCAGTGAAAAAAAATCAAATTTTTGAGTAATTATTTTGATGCATGGAACTAAAATTTTGTATTTCTTCTAGATTTGACTGGATTTGCTACAGTTACTTCTCTTTTTGCAGGAATCTGGGGCAAAGCCTGAAACTATGACAAGGAAAGATGCAGCATTCTTCCCCTTGATTGCTAGTGCAGCCTTATTTGGATTGTATCTTTTCTTCAAGGTATTGTACCATCAATTTTACAATTGGTTACATTTTTTATAAAAATGTTTCTGTTATTAAATGTTTCTTTTGGAATAGTCTATTATACATAGCAGTGATGGGTACATTTGTTTTCCAGATTTTCTCAAAGGAGTATGTGAACTTACTCTTGACTGGGTATTTCTTTATTCTAGGCATCATTACCCTAACACACTTAGCAAGGTAAAGTACAGCTAACTGCTCATGTATCAATATGATTTTTTGACAGGAATTTAACTGAAAATTTATCCAAATTATTTCTTTGATACACAGCCCACTGATAAATACTTTAGTACCTGCTGCCATTCCAAACATTCCTTTTCATCTCCATTTTAAAAGTGGAGCTGGGGAAGATGAGCAAGATATAGTGAACTACAAGTTTTCATCTCATGACATTGTTTCTTTAATTTGTTGTTCTATTTTTGGAGCCTGGTATTTGTGGAAGAAGGTAATTCTTTTTCTTCTTTTAAATCCGTTTACTTATTTTTAGTAATGTATCATTATTACTGTATTACTATTATAATCTGTGTTTCAGCACTGGGTTGCCAACAACCTCTTTGGAATCGCTTTTGCCATTAGCGGTGTAGAAATGCTGCACTTGAATAACATTGTCACTGGGTGCATCCTCCTCTGTGGACTCTTTGTCTATGACATCTTCTGGGTCTTTGGAACTAATGTTATGGTTACTGTGGCAAACTCTTTTGAGGCTCCAATTAAATGTAAGT